TTAGTATTCAATTCTGTTTGTTTGCTTGTTTGTAACTTTTTACTGCAATCTGGGTGAGAGTTTCCAGAGCGAATTGATGTTTCCATTCAACAATTCTGACACATTTTGATGTGTGACATTGATTGTAATTCTTCTGAAGAAAATGACCAGGAATGGGTGATATACTGAAGCCACCGAAGTATTGAATGAAAACTAGTCATTTTAACATGAGAAACAGCAAAGAGAATTTGCCATTTGAACTAATTTAAAAGTAAATTCATCTTCTTACCTAGATGATTACAACTTTCTTTTGATCATTCAATGTACCTGGATACAACAGATTCCATAAGAGCCTTCATATAGAATACGTGTTGGTATGTAACAGATTCAATTTCTTGACGTTTTTGCATGGATATTACTAGGAGAGAGGAATTGCTTTTTACCGGACTTTTCTCTTGATAGATTGTAATAACTAGGTATAAATTTCCCCAACTGCTCAAAGTTATAAACTGAGATTTACCGAGCAGAAAAAATATATTTCAATATAGTATAATATGTTGTTGTTATGTGCCATCGAGTCGTTTCCGACTCAGATATTAAATATTTTTTCCTCTCTTTAGCTGGATTCTTTTTAAGTATTTCTACAAGTCTCAGGGCCATGGAAGGAGAGAAAATGGAGACAGAAATCTTCATATAAGAAAATGTAATTTTATGAGCAAGAGCTTTATGTCTGCTGCCCTTTCCTTGAAAACTAAATCTATACTAAGAAAAAGTCTATTTTTAACATGACGGAAACTTTATGAATATTGAATCTCCATACCATTTCATAGATTTCAAACCAAGAGATAAACAGAAGTGTAGCAGGGCTACAAATGACATTGTTTAGATAATCACAGACTGCCTGAAATATCAGGGTCCCAGCACTGCTGGCTGCAGGCATCTTCAGAGCTAGGATTCTGGCTTAGGCTCTCAATAACCAACACGACATGTCTCAACAGACATTTGCTGTAAGAAAATGCTTTGTGGGGCCATTCGGATTAGAATGTTTTCATTATGTTGCAAATACTCATAAAGGTATTCATTCCTAAAAGACAATAAGACTTAGAAAAGCAGAACTATTCAAATCACTGGATATATTAGTCGGGAGATGCAAACCTGCCCTCGGGTCACTCAATTTTAATCTATATTATGAAAAAAACCCCCAATCAATGCAATATCACACACACACAAGATTGTAAAGGATAATGGAAAATGTTCAGATGATGTTGAAATGATACTGTAAAAGAAATTAGAGTTATTTTCCTCTTAGGGGGGAAATGATGCTATTTTTCATTAGTAAAAATAACAAATGACTTTCTATAGAGTATGTTCAGATTTGCATAAATATCATGGCCAAATTTCCATATTTCTTAGGTAAGAAACAGATCGCTTAACTGTGTAATGGGAATTCAGTCTCATACTGAGAAAACGACTCACTAACATTCATTCTTTGGGGCCAGTGTGTTGCATCGTGGTGAGGAAGAACCCTCACGGTTCCAGTTTGTGAGGTGAGCAATCTCCTAGAACAGAACCATATCCACCAGCTTCCACACCTGGTTCATTATGAAGCACCATGTGCAATACTCTTTCCTCATTCGCAGGTTAAATGAATAGAACCCTGATACTTGGGACTCAAAAGAGAGATGGAGCTTGCGTCTCTGCACAACTTCGTAATATCTCTCTGTCTCTCTCATTGTCATTGAGTCAGAGGCTGCAAATCACATGGGAGAAAATTGTCCATATTTCTCCCGGGTAACTTCCTAGCTGTTTTTGTTGTATACTATCGAGTCAGAACCAGATCATAGCTGATCCACCAGTGGGCTGTCAGAGGTAGTAAACTGCATGGGAGGAGACTGCCCATCTTTCTCCTGCAGAGCAGCTGGTGGATTTGAACAGCAAGCCTTTATGTTGGCAGCATTAACTTCTCACTACTAAGCCACTGGAGAAAAAGGCAAACTTCTTTCGTGGTGATCACAGAGATTTGGGAGTTTATCTGTTCTAACAGCTGGTACTGCCCAACACTGATTCATTAACACCCACCTAAAGGCCCTAGGGATGTGCTGCTATCCCAAAGTCCTTGCCTCTCTGCAGGTTTCAATCTCCCAATGGCTTCTTGGGAAACCCAACTGGGGATGGTCAGTTATGGGCAGGTTCCAATGCAATGGCAGTGAGTGTGTGAGTGAGTGAAGTTCAAAGCTTGAGCCACAATAAAGAATTAATATTTGCAAATCAAGAAAGGGCTCCTTTAATTAACAACCATAACAACTACAAGAGGAAGTATCTTTAAGAAGTGAATCAAAACCATACATAATTGCTTATGAATTAAGGTGAAGTCTCTCTCAGGAAGGAGTGATAGGGAATGGCAAAGGACATACTGACAAAGGAGATTAATCAGAACTGGCTTTGACAAGCACGGTGGCAATTGGACAATTAAAACAGACTTTCAAGGGGGGGGGAAGAAGAACGAACTGGGGAGGAGGATAGAGAAAATAGTGCATCAGTGAATGAATGAAAACCCAAAATCCCTGTAAATGTTCATTAAAATTAATAAAATTTAATAATTTAAAAAAAACCCCATACATAATTGCATACTGGGGTGGGGGGGAAGTCATTCTGTCCCAGTGTTTAAGGGCATTAACAAAAACAACCAAACAAAATAGGGAATGACAAACATCCTAGGAGCACACAAATTCAAGCCAGAAAGGGATACTGGCAAATTCCAAGCTCTGAAATTCTAAGCTTAGGATCTCTGGCAGAGACAACAAGTTCCTCTTTGCCTGTTTTATAAGCTGGAACAATTTATTTAATTAACTATCCTTGGAAGTTACTGTCTCATCTAGAAAATGGACATTAGGAAATTTAGCTCACAGGATATTTTCAACATTATACACCCACACAAACATACAAGTCCATACAACACTGCCTGACATCTAGGAGGTGCTCAGTAAATAGTTAACTACTATCATGAAGAAGAAACCTCATCTTACATACTTTGGGCATGTTTTCAGAAGGGACTACCAGTCCTTGTGAACATACATCAAAGTGGGAAAGGGCAGAGAAGGAGGAAGACCCTCGAGGAGATGGATTAACACAGTGACTGCAACAGTCACCTTAAAAATGTGCCCATCAACAAACGAATGGATAGAGAAGCTCTGGTATATTGACACAATAGAATACTACGCTGCATTGAAAAACAAGGAACTCATGCAATACTATGCAAAGTGGGTGACCCTGGAGAACATTATGCTGAGTGAAATACGTCAGTCACAAAAGGACAAACATGGCATAGTGCCACTGTTGTAGAATGGGACTGACATAAGGCTGAGAAAAACTGGATCAATTATGTATACTGCATTGAAACAGATGAGGGAGAGAACAGTTTAAAAAGCGATCTATGATAGGGTATTAGGATTATCACAAGAGTCCAAAATGAAGGTTGCATATTGGAGTGGACCTGGGAGAAGGGATTGTAAAACAGTTAAAGAATTTTTCCTTTACTTTTCAAAGAGAAGTGTGTACTGGGCGGGAAGGGTGGGCAGGGAGAAAAGTGTAACAACGAGTGAATGGAAATCCAAAGTCTCTGTAAACTTTCATTAAAATCAATTCATTTAAAAAAAGATGGAGATAATGACAAAGGTGCATGACAGGGTAAGGTTCTGATCTGTTGTTCACAGGGTTACTCTGAGTTATAGATGACTCAATGGCACCTAACAGCAGTAATAATCGACACTAAGAATCGACCTATTTCAAAAGTGGGACTTAGAAAGTTCTTTCACTGTCAGCTTTCTATACTAGCTGCACTTTCACTTCCCCAACATACCAGCAGTTAGGCACTCTTCTTTGTCCATTTCCTTCGAAAAATGACGGTCTAGGGGACAGTAGCTAAAGAAAAGTACACCTTCTTGATCCTGGAGTTTCCAAAGCCTAGATCTTGTGTAAGACAAGATAGGGGGAAACAGAAGGGATTATCCACTTACACCCCCCCCAAAAAAACCCCTCGTCCAAACACAAAGCCACGTCATCAGGTTGGTTCCAACTCCATTGGGTTTCTGACATTGTCAATCTTTACAGGAGGTAACTCTTCTCATCCTTCTCCCACAGAGCAGCTAGTAGATTCGAACTGCCATCCTTTTGTTCAGAAGCCAACATGAAAATAGTTTGTTTTTTTTATGAATGTAGGAAGGTAGAAGAGAGGGTGTTTACTGAGGAAGTAAGAAAGTCCAATGCTGCTGTGTGTCCCTGCAGAAAGCCCTTGGGCCCAGCCCCTTTGAAACTGTATCCTGGTTGAAAGGGAGGAAACCCACAGAATACTGAAAGAATCGTATAGCAGAGACTACCAAGGTTTCATTTCTGATGAAAGTCTCTGAGGAAATAATGTTGGAGGATAGTTTTCTATCCTACTCCCTCCAACCCTCTCCCCAATCAACGTAAGATTACACCACACATACCCACTTAAAGAAGAAAAAGAATATGTGTGATATCTATGCTTACAGACATGATGAAACTTCCCGAAGTTCTAGTTCACCAAAGCATGACATAAGGAATATCACAGTGGTTTTTGAGAGCAAACAATGAGACATCAACACAGCAGTAAGATTTCTAGATCTGAAAGTACCACTACAGACAGGAAAGAGAGGAAGCAGCTTCTGGTTTGGATAAACAAAGCTGGGAGTGAGGGAAGAGGCTGGATTCTTCACTGATGTCAGCTTAGACAGATGGCACCAGCGGAGCAAATGCTCTGCTACACCATGCCCATACCATACCATGCCTTATACCTGTCGAAGCCCTGAAGGGACAAAAACGGCACTTCCTCTCTTCTCTCATATGAAGCTCAGTTAGTGAAAGGTAGCATTATGGAGTGAAGTTCTTATGCAACACAATGATCACAACATACAACCTTTCCCCTTCATTTTGATAAACGTGATGGAGGTGTAACAACTGAATGCTTCTATTGCAACTTTTCAATATGTGTAATGACTTACTTCGATCCGTTATGATTGTTCTGGCTTCTTGATTGCTAGTCTTGTTTTTCAAATTCTGGGCAGCAGTAATAAGTTCTTCCAGTTGGGGGCGCCTCTGTTCCAAATCTTGCATCATCCCCTGAAGGAACAAAGACACCTTAGTATTGGGAAGGTTCTCCAGCATTGTGCATTTCTCATATGTGGCACAAAATAAAGTGCAATTTTCAAGCCAACTCAAACACTTTTAGGAACCAGAAAAGAAGCTAATGTATTTGTATGTACATCTCTATTGTGTAAGGGTTTGTCGAGGAATAATATAGCAAGTAATGTGCTTCATTCTCAGATAACTAAAATATTTCAAGTGAAATACTCGGTTACAGATTTGTTCTCACTATTTAAGACCTTAAAAATCAAAACCGGGGGAGCTCTGGGGGCCTAGTGGCAAGAAGCTGCACTGCAATCCCAGAGGAACACGGTTTGAATCCACCAGATGCTCTGCCAGAGAAGGAGGCGCAATATCCTCCTGTACCAGTCAGGTCTGATTTGACGGTACACGCACACAAAATAATAAAAAATTTAAAAAAATCAAAACCAAACCAACGGCCACCTGGTTTGTCCCAACTCTTGACGAGCCTCCATTAGTTTTTCTTCCAAGGCATGGCCTGTGGAGTCAAACAGCTGATCTTTCAGTTAGGGGTCCAATGTGTAGTGTTGGGCTTCCAATGTATTCTAAAATATGTATCTATATTAAATTGTGTATTTTAGAAATAGACTAAACACAGAAGTGAATTACCAGACTATTTATTGAACTTGTATTTGAGTTACCTCAACTATGAGAAAATGATGTAGACATGCTTAAATTAGCCTTTGCCCAACTTTTCTTGTCTATAAAAGAAATTATCCAGACTCCTTTTCCTTACCCCAGAACTGAATATGCTTTGGAGAGGATGGCTGAGAATTTGTATTCCTGACACTGTCTACTTAGCTCTTATGAGCAGGCAAGTTTGGAAAACACTAGTCTAGAAATTGGTATTTGTAGTCTTCCGTATCGTGTTATTGTTGCTGAGTACCAATGAATGAGAGCTGACTCATAGCTGACCCTCTAGTAGGCTTTCAGAGGCAGTACATTGCACAGAAAGAGACTGCCTACCTTTCTCCCTTGGAATAGCTGGTGAATTTGAACCGTGTACCTTGGGGATTGCAGTGTGGCTCCAGTTTAACACTACTAGAGATAAAAGTACCAAGAACAACAAAATCCACAAATAACTTTTGATTTTGAGGCAGTCATGGTAACCATTAAGCATTCTCTTCTCCCCAAGTGTGTATCTAGGGACTGCGTTATCTTAGTTTTTCTATACTGAAGAGCCAATATCCAAGGAATGTTTGAAAAAGCACAAAAGTGAAGATATTTCTCTGCTAGTATTGGTCTGGTTTGAAAATGGACAACTGACTTCATTTTCTTTTACTTGGGGACAGTACAATTGATAATTACTATCGTTTTATAAAAGGAGCTCTACTGGCCTAGGGGAGAAGGGTTGCATTGCCAATCCAAAGCCAGGCAGTTTGAACCCATCAGCTGCTCCTAGGGAGAGATCCGCACAATCTCCCCCTGTGTGATATACAGCCTCTGGAAACTTGCTAGAGGGTCACAGCTAGGGGGTTCTGAATTTCTGACAATGAGCTGAGTTGCTAAGGTTAGTTTCACAATGACTGCAACAATGGACTTGAGCAGAGTCCATGTGCACGGAGATCACGAGGATGGCCCAGGACAGGGCAAGGTTTTCATCCGCTCACAGCACTGAGAAGAGTCAGAGTTGACTGAATGGTACCTGATAAACACAGACACACGCTACAGGGACGATGTTTTCGATTATTCTATTCTTTGTTCCTCTAATGCTATCCCACCCAGAAGTCTGTCAGAGTCTAGAGCTGATGTGTTTCCTACTACCACGTGGGGCCAAGGAAAGTGAAGAGATGAAATGGAGTAGTCAGCGCTGTTTATGAAACTTTCTTATCCATCTTGTCCTTTGACTGCTCAGGATTTTTGGTGTTGGGAAGGTCACATTAAGATCATTCTGGAGCTTTTCTTTTGTGCAGTTAGGGAAATGAGTTTTGTGATTGAAGCCCAGTTGTTTGGGGTGATGGGAAAATAATGGAAGAGGGGGAGTTATCCCCATTTTGTACATTCATTTTGAGTATTTTGTCCTCGGTATTGAAAAAAAAATGGAGGGGTTAACTTTTAACAAATTTTCCACATTTGTAAGCTGTGATTGCTCAGAAGAAAAATCCAATTTTCAGGTTTCTAACTTTTATGGTTTCTTTACACAAAAGGGTGTTTGAAATATGGAACAAATTGCCAAAGACAGCTATTGAAGTAAGTGGCGTAAGTCAGTTGGAGAGTGCTGGGCAAATTTTAAAGTAGGAGCCGTACAGCAGTAGATAAGACTTTATGAAATAAGATGTTTTCCAGGGTTGGAATGTTAAAATCTGGTCATCTGTGGCACAGGAAGCTACAAAGGTATTCTGGAACACTCTTAAATATTTGAGTACACTCCCTTGCTTTCTTTAAAAAAAAAAAAAGTATTCTTTAGAAACATCAGATAAAATAAACTATTCCTTTCAAATTTAATGCAGATCTGGCGCATGTAGCTATGAAAGTACATATATTCATTTACTAGTCATTCATTTGATAAATATTTGCTGTCTGCCAAATGCGATTTTTGATGCAGTTGGTACATGAAACCAAAATCTCACTGCCATACAATCGATTCTGACTCCTAGCGACTGACCCTCCATCAGTCTCTGAAGCTGTAAACTTTTCTAAGAGGAAATTCCATCTTTCTCCTGTGGAATAGCTGGTAGCTTTGAACAGCTAACCTTTCCGTTAGTAGTGGGCAAATGCATTAAGTATGGTTTGTATAATTAAATGAGAAGCTGTGGGGGTTTTTGAAATGTTGATAGAACAAAGGTTATCTTGGTTCATGCCCCAACAGTGTATTGTTTGCTGCTCACTTTTGGACACGTTATTCAAATGTTCCCCATACTATTTTTCTTTCTTCCAGGATTTCAAAGTTCATTTAATAAGTATGTTGTAGAAGTAACTCGATCAACTTTAATCTGAACCTTAACAGGCTCTAAATTAAACCTGACCACAATGAACAGCTTTTACTGTTGAAATTAGCAAGCATGTCAATTTAGACTTAAAACAAGCCATTTTCCTCTCTAATGAACAAAATAGGTCTCAGGGTATTGCAAGACCTGTTCTCTAGTTGGGTGATTCTCTCATTCTGCTGACAGACACATGCTCTGTAAGCACCTGAGAAGATTATTAATGGCATCCTTTGAAGCAATCTCCTTAAAAATCTGAGGAGATTCACAACGGTGGTACAACTATGCACTCCCAAACTTCTTCAGGCAAAAAATAGCAACTCTACATGACTCTGGTGTTTTGAAAGGGAAACTAAAGTAATAATGCATATTGATTTGAATTTATCAGACACAAATACAGGGAGCTCCGGTGCCTTAGTTGTAAGGAGTTGCAATGCCAACCCAAAGGCAGGCAGTTCAAATTTACCAGCAGCTCTGTGGAAGAAAGATGGGAAATCACCTTCCATGCAATTTATAGCCTCTGAAATACCTACTGAAGGCCCAACTATGAGCCAGTAACATAACAACAACAACAACATTAAATACTGATCTGATTAAATGAAAGGATATATTGGACTGTGCAAATTTGCTGCAAAAGACATTTTTAAACTGTGAAAAAGGCAGGCTGTCACTTTGAGGACTAAGGTGTGCCTGGCCCAAGCCATGGTATTTTCGATTATCCCATATGCATGCATAAGCTGAACAATGAATAAGGAAGACTGATGAAGAATTATGGAGTTGGTGAAGAGTACTGAATATAACAAAGACTTTCAGAAGAATCAACAGATATGCCTTAGAGATATAGCCAGAGTTCTCCTTACAAGTGAGGATGCTATAGACTTTGTTTCACATTACTTTGGACATGTTACTAAGAGGAAGCAATTTCTGGAGAAGGACACAATGATTGGTAAAGAAGAGGGTCAGTGAAAAAGAAGGCCCTCGATGGCATGGATTGTCACAGTGGCGGCAAATTTGGCTAAAACATAGTAACAGCTATGAGGAGGTGCAAGACCAGGCTAGTGGAAATGTCCCTCTTCAATCTTTCTCCCAGAAATGAAGGAAAACATTTCAATCTGACTTGCATTTAAACATTTTTTAGTTAAGATATTATAAAAGCAGTTACTAAAAGACCATCTTGCTAATAAACAGAACATTAGCATCAGGTGAGAGAGAAGATTACTTTTTGATTCGTTTGCTTTTCTTTTGCCTATAGTCTATTTATTTGCTAATGCAATTTCTTGGATCTGACAGCTTGGCTGTGTATTATCATAACTTCTTAACTATAATGACATTATCCTCTATTCCATTATAGCCACTGCAGATGGGAGAGAACTTGAGATTGAATCATTACTCAACATTGCTGTTGTTAGGTACTGTCGAGTCAATTTCAATTCATAGAACAGAACTGCCTCATGGGGTTATCAAGGCTGTAATCTCTGCAGGAAGCAGCTCTGGGGTGTATTGCATTCTGTATGGGGTTGGTTACTAAAAAGTCAGCCATTAGAATCCACTAGCTGCTCAGTGGCAGTCTCCTTCTAGAAAGATTTACGGCCTGGAAGACCTGATGGAAGGTGGCTATGAGTGTTGGAATCAATTAACTAGTAGTGCGTTTGTTGTTGCTGCTGCTAATATTTACCGAAGCCAGTCTCCACGTCTTTCTCTTGTGGAGTCTCAGGATGGGTTCAAACTGCCAACAATTTTGTTTGTAGCTGATCACTTATAACCACTACATCTGCAGGACTCCTTTCACTCAAATATAACCAGTTCCAAAATACCCATCTGTAGTATTCTGTTCTCTGACCCCAATCTGCTGTTCCTACCATGTGCCACTCCTCAATTAAAACTGCTTCTATGTAACGGAGAGCTATGTAAACATTCTTCAAATTAAAACAACAACAACAAAACAAACCAAACCCAAACATTAAACTATATGTTTAATTTAACAGTTAGCATTTCCAAGTCTAACAAAAGAGGTTATCAACCAAATGCTTT